TGTATTATTTTATCTATTATTTTATATAGTATATTAAAATATAATACTGCATAAAATAATTGTTTTAAAATAAATAATTAAATAAATTATTAAACATTACAGATATTTGTTCTAGAATGAATATCTGTATTTATTATACATTTCTATATTTAGATTTCTAGTTTTATAACAATCATTTTTTTATAATGAAAAAGCTGCCTATAACCAAATTTTTTAAAAAGCCTTTATTTTTAACCATATTTAAATATTTTTATATTTATACTTTTCATATTTATATTCTGTTTACATTTCTACTTTGTTAGATATCATCTTATAATCTATTGATGTACTATATTTATAGATTTATTATATATTACAGGTAATATATTACATTGTAATAAATGTGTACAGTATTGTATATATATAAATAAATAAATATATAAAAGTATATAATATATAAAAATATTTAAAAAAATTAAAATTAAAATTAAAATTAAAATTAAAAATAAAAATTAAAATTAAAATTAAAATTTAAAGTAAAATTAAAAATTAAAATTGAAATAAGAATTAGAATTAAAATTAAAATTAAAATTAAAAATTAAAATAAAAAATAAAAATAAAGAAATAATTTCTATATTTGTATCTATACCAGTGTTGTGCTGGGCTGTTCTGGCTGACCCTGGCTCTGGGGGGGATTTTTGGGTGTCCAGGTCACCCTGCTGAGGAGGATCCTGGTCCTGCCACACCTGCTCAGGTGGGGCTGCCTGTGCAGGATGCAGAGTGTATTTTATGATGATAAAATGCCTATTTTATCACTGTTTTTTCGCAAATATCAGGACGAATATAAAATGTGTTATGTCAGAAAGTAATGCCGTATGAATTTCCCCAAGCAGTGTGTTAAATATCCTTTCAGGTTATAACACAATATTAAAACAGGAACTGTACGTGTGGGATTTTTATTTATTTTTTTTAATTCCACTCCAAATATTCCCTCGGAGCTTTTCCCTCCCTGCTCTTCTGCTTCTCCCCTTCCTCTGCTCTGTGCATCCTCCTCATCCTCTGCGGGGAGCAGCTCCCAGCTCCTTCCAAACCCGCTTTTCCCCACGTTTTTCCAGTTCCTGGAGTCGTGGAGGGAGGGAAACTGAAACAAATGGGCCGTGAAAACGCACAGCAGGCAGGAATGCAGCTTTCCTAATTCCTGCAGGAACAGAGCCAGG